TTTAAAACTAAATTACTTTGTGGAATTGAAATAATCAACGTCCTGTGACTTATAACCTTTACACGCTCAATATTTTGTTGTTTTCGCGTTTGAAAAGTTTGCTAATAAAAAATATGCACACAATAACTCTGTAATGTGTGCCGACTCTTTGCTTTGATATCAATGGTTTTATGTATTTGTGTGTACAGCATTCAAAAATAACTATTGTAACAAAGGTGATTTTATATGAAATGTGATAGCATTAAACCACTATGAACGTACTATGATCACTCTATATATGAAAATTGCGTTAATAATTTTTATCAAAACTTCATGTTAATATAAGCGTGATAAAATAAGTGAATATTTCCAAAGGCTCACATTCGAAGACAGAAGTTACTTCAAGTAAGTGCGAATTACAAATATATCCATCGTGTAATTTATTACAAAATTCCAATTATTATGGCGAATATACTTAACGTACAAAATTTGATACACACATTCGTGACAATTATTCTCGTTAAGCAGGTAAAATAATAGTCAGGTTTAAAGTAGCCTTTCTGAACTCCTCACTGGATGGTGTTTCTCATAGAGAGTAAATCATCCATTTCCGCAGAAACTTAATTATCATTATTATAACTTCTGCTTCCGCGTGGAACAAAGGGCTTCAGCAGCATATCTCCATTATGGATAAAATTTTATTTTGATAAATCGCACAGTTTTGTACAGTAATATTTACTGTCATTAGTAAGTATAACTTTACAACACCGTGTGATTTATCAAAAGGAAATATTATCCATATTGGAGTCATACTATACTGCCGTGCTCACGTTTGATACTTCTATCAGCAGCTCTCCATTTCATTCCTCTTATCTCCTCCATATCACAAAATCGCCTTTCATGCCAACCTCGAATTCATGTCCAACTCACTGGTTCCTATTCAGGTTCCATTCAAGCGATAGACGGTAGTTTGACACCTCAGTCATGACTTGAGTGTATTCAAAGCGGATATAAGGTTGTATTCACGTCACTTGCTTGATTGAGGTATATCCCTCCATAAGAAAAATAAGTACCTTACTCTTGAAACTGATAAAGAATTGTGAATCTAGTGTCTAGTAAAATTATTAAATATTAATATTCAAAATACTATAGCTTTTGTATTTGTGAAAATCCACAACTAGGATCGTATAAGATTTCTGGTCTAATTTCAGAGAATAAAATCATGTCAATTTCTGAAGAATATTTAACGCTGTTCCCAGCGTCTAAGAATAAGCTACTACGACGAGATATCCCTTTCAGATATTATATCTGGGTAAGCATATCTTCTATGATTTGTTGAAGAGATTATTTCGTATTTCTAGATTTTATTAGATGCCGTGTTTATGATACTGACGACTACGGCTGTACTCGTCTTGTTTACCGAATCGTAGGATTGAATTATTGTTGTAAATACTTAATATTATGTTGATTTGCAGGCAACTAATTTCCAGTTTCTTTAGGCATCATTTCTATGTGACGTTTGTTATTGCGTAAGTTCTCTGCTCATTATTATATATTTATTCATTATTGAATTAACTCCCAATACAAATCACCAAACAGAATTCACTTATAATACAGAGAATTGTAATGTTAATAGTTAAAACATTTCAGAGAAATTTCAAACAGTACTATTATGTTTCTTGAACTTCATAGAAAAGAAAGCCTCTGAATATAGATTGAACTTATTATGCGTAAGAGGAATACGATTTCAAAACGTCTTGTCCTAGATCTCAGTATTTCCCAGTTCCTTATATCAAGTGTTAACTTTAGGAAATATAATCGATGATCCGCTACTTATTTGAAATACACGATTGTTTTTCAAGGGTTAGCTTTCAGGGATTGCATCTGCTAAACGTTTCACCACGGATCAACATGAGTTAGAGAATCACTGCCAGTCAAGGAGGATTAGATAGTTGGTTCATGCTGGTTCGGGGATCGTCATCGGTACACATTTACTAGGGTTCAAACCAAGGGACTTGCGAGTACGAGGCAGACTCGCAAGCTATTGAGCTACTGTGAACCGACTCAATTTCCACCTCAAGAATTCTAACCCCTACTGATCCATAAATTCACCAGACAGTGCCATGGGCAACTATTTGTTCTCAATGTTTATCGAGGGGACCTCAATAGTCACGACGTCTCACTAGGAATTCAGACAACTTGGTCATGCAATCAGTCAGTAGGCAGCAAAAGATGACTGGATTTGCAACAGTTATGGTTGTTGGCAACTGGTTTGATCAACATCAGTACTGAATTATTATTAGATATTGCCTAACTAAGTAGGTTATTTAGTCTAAATAGTTTATAGGAGACTTAAGATTACAAAATCGATAGTCGTGAATACCATCCTAATTTTTATCATTTTTAGAATCTTAGTGTTCAGTGTAAGCATTCTTCATATAATGACCTTTTTTGTACAGGACTCCCATTAACATTCCATAGACCATCTGCACAGACAATAGCCAAGTGTGTCACTTGTATTGTTTGCTGCATAAGATAGACTTTTGCTGCTGGTAAAGTATGCCGGAGTGTAAAACTAATTTCCTTAGGCTACTTTCACCAAAATTGCGATGAGTGGTTTAAGTTCCATGTACCATTTTAATCAGAAGACCATTTTTATGTTCAGTAATCTACTAAATGCGTTAACTTTTCTTTCTAATCGGTTTTCAATATGTAGAGATTACTACTGTGAATTCGAGAGATATTATGTATGCGACCATTTAAAAAGCACTAATGGCCTTTGACAAACTTCTCGACGTCTTCATTCTTGCGACTTTGCAGTCGTTATGGTATCACTACTGGTATGCTACATTATACCAGGCCTCGTTAAACGTAATATACCGAATCGCTGTCTTATTCAGTACACAACCTGACTAATAAGAACTGGCAACAAAACACAAATACAAAAGATTCCGTTATTCGCACATGTCTTATGATGACCGACGTATTCAAATAAAGCACCAACACTATTTTCTGCAGGATATGACGGTACCATCTTTGTTTATTTCTTTGAATTCTCATCCGTCGCTTACAGAAACTATTAACTTTGTGTACAGAATATTTTTTAATGTACTTTCAAATAATACATGATGTCAGTAAACAAGAGGACATAAACTCAATAAACAGTGGGCACAAAATTACACCTTTATAGTTTATACCTGGAGAGTTCAATTTGAAACAAAATCTATTAACATTAAGAAGCGAAACGTCAGTAAAAACTATATTGTTCTTTTTTCCATTCATTGTGAACTACAAAGACTTTTATTATAATGAAAAATAAGTCTTTGTTTACAGTGATAAAAGAGTTACACACTAAATATAAGGGATGAGAAAGAAAACTAATAACTAATAAATCGTCGTGAGTTGAACTCATAAAACAGAAAGAAGAGTCAAACAAAGTTACACTTTATCAAAACGCAGAATAGCTGGAGCCGAATGATTTGCCATCAAATGAAATATAGAATAAAAGAGATCAAGTTACCAGAGCTAGAAAAGACTGACAATTGCTTCTTTGTGGAAACCTTGATCACTTATTAGGCATTTGATCGTGACTGTTTCACTTAAAGTCAAGAGGACTGAACTATTTTTTTCCGTTGACAGTTTTACTATCGTCAGCGTCTGCACCTTTGAAACTCAGGAGTTTTGGTGCACGTTCAGAAAATTACAGGTGCCATTTTTTCTGCCATATGAATGTTTTACCACCATCGATACATTTTAAATTTGTATACACATTTAGAGTTAGTTAGCGAGAAAGATTTGGGAACATATCTGAGTTGTTCGGTTGAACCATACATTGCCAAGATTGTAGTGTTATGAGCACAAAAGCGAATGGAAAATGGTGAATGAGTGTGGTCGGATGCGTAGGTAATAAATATAAACTCAAAATACCAAAAGCATTCTCAATTATTGGTATATAGGTTAGTCTAACTTACTGGTGTCTGCAAATTTATTTCAGATTTGTCGGTGTCATTCTACCACTTCCAATAATAACTATGACAAACTTCTTGTCAAACGTCTTCTGTGTTCATTTGCTGCTCGGAAGTACAGTAAGTTTCAATTTAATTGTGTAACTGTGTAGTTAAGTCGACTTTGCGCTTATTTTTACGAAAAAAGGAAATGCTTAGCTATACCGTGTTGTGGAAATTTATCCGTATACAGTGTTCGACAGTCGACCTTACAGCAAGTACATTTGAACCTATTTGAAACTGGTTATCTGGATATACTTGCATTCTCCAGTGAGTGATGGTGTTCCTAAATGGCTAGTGTCGATTACCCATGATTTTAAACGTCAAAGCACTGACCACTATACCTCCAAGTCCAAGAGGTTTACATCTTTGAAAAATGGACTACAGTTATTATCCGATTTTAGGACAATCGTAGTTTTTCTGTTGATTCATGGCACGGAAATGTCCGGTGTCTGTCAACATGTCGACACCTAGTACGTACGGTTCAAAGATAACTGAGTGTTAATTTGAAGTGATTTGATAAATAGTGAATAATAGTGGAACTCAGAGTTTGCTCATTTAATCGTATTTAGGACTGGCCAACTTGATTCACCTGCACTCCATATTGAGTGATGATATTCCCAGTTAATCCACGGGAATATGATAATTAACTAAAAACGAATTATTTATGCCTGTTTGAGAATTCAGCTTGATCTCGTCTTTTGTTCAAAACACACATCACTTACAACAACCCGTAATGCTCACTCGCTAGTAGCGTCTAAGTAACCTAAACAAGAGGCAGCTGTTCCGCTCATTTAGGATCGAGCTTATCGGCCGTTTATGAGACACCAAAAAAATCACAAGATTGAACTATTTCAAGGCATTTTATTCTTCACGAAGCTTCCAGTTGTTAAACAGTTATTTTTTCGTCAATTTAACTCGTTGTAGGTTATACTTTGGTCTGTGAGCTTGGCTGCCGGCTTTGGATATGTTGACATGTTCTACGGATTGATATCACTAATTTTGATAATTGTGATTACAATCACGACTGTGGGGTTGGCACTGAAATTTCCATCAATGGATGATAATCAGCTGGTTGTCTTTACTACAATATCATCTACCCTTTTGATTTTATCAACCATCTTAATAATATTTAATGCCACCATGCCACTAGATGTAAGTTTATCTGTAAGTGCACCTGATTTACAAAACTCTGTTCGACCAGTGGATTTCCTCGTTTTTCTATTGAATAGAATTCGGTATTGAAAGGCTAGAAACAATCGTTTGAAAGCTAAGGTATTCCGGATTCCAATAAATATTTTCCAACACCAACGACCAAATGGAACCTGTCATTCATCTTATTGTGCTTTGTAATATGTGGAGATATAAACCCCTCATTGAAAACTGTGCATTCAGCCTTACTGCGATAGAGAATTGGAAGATGTTGAATCCGGACTGCATTATATGTGATGCAGGAATAAAAATCAGCTGCTTATTTCAACGAGAATTCAGTGCCTTGTGTTGCGATTGGCAAATACTCAGGCTCTTGAGATAGTTATAGTCAACCTACTGACATTTAGTGGATTTGCTAGCAACTATAAGATATGTGGCTTCAATATAAACAACTGGCTCACCACTGCATGTTCATGAGTGAGTTATACGTGATTTATTGAGTTAGTTATTCAATAAATGAATGTTAACAGCATTCACACGCTTTAAACTATTGAAAATGGAGACATTTTGGTCCATTGTATCCAGCATTTATTAGTGATGACTGTGGTTCAAAATTAAAATTACTAGTACCAGCATGACTGTAAATCTCTTCCACTATATTAAAGGACGTTTGAGACTTTACGATAACTCTGAAGGTGCTAATTTTGAACCCAATCAATTGCGTACTGTTGAAGATTCTTAAACTGCGACAAAATTTCTTTTCAGTGCCCTTTAGTTTCTCCACGGTTTGCTAACCTGTAATTATGATACGTCAATATCAGTAATTAATTGAGTGTGATCACTTAGACAAAACGTGAGTATAATCACCGTCTAAACTTGCTATCTTTCTCTGTTTATTTTAGACACCGATCTTCAACATTGTTTCAGCAATTTTCTTTGGATTATTCCTAATATGCGTAAGTTTATCCGTGGGCTAAATTCGGTTATATTTTTACTTACACGATATCTGCAATAGTCAATAGTTCATTAATGAGGATTCGATTGGTTTCTAGTTTAACCGCAAATTGATAATGCGTTAGAGAACCAGTAAAACAAAGGATAATCGACAGCTGTTTCGTCTTAATTCAAGACACACGATTTAGTGAAAGTTCCAATTTAGTCGAGTCAATTGAATGGTTTACATCCTCACGTTGTCACCACCATTAAAAGAAAATTTCTTACAGTTTTCAACACTAATTTAAAATTTATGCTCGTACATAGCCCAGAGACTTGATGTGACGTTTCACAAGAAGTTTTTTAACGGGCAACTGAAGAATCATCAACAGTTACCCATTTTGTTCCATAATATGGAATAAATGGCCAGCCAGAACGGATAAGCAGCAAACAATTCTTGCGTCAAGGCAACGAGAACGTCTTACCGAAGAAAATGGAGGTAAATCAGACACACACACAAAGGACTCTTTAGTGTCGTTGTGAGCCTTGAGACCATTCAAGTAGAATATCGATGGGAAGAAGCAAGTTGGGAAGTAGTTCAAGGGTGATACGCAGGAGATGGTGTGAAGTGGAGGAGATCCGAGATTATGGGAAATACTAAAGTTAGGTGAAGATGACTACAAAGAACAGGGTGAACTGTAGATCAGCTATTCGACTTGAAATCCAAAGGAATAATGATAATCGAGCTGCGGCAAACCATCATACTGAAAAGTACTCATATATGAATCCAGATAAGTGGAAACGGTGGTAGCTATTCAAAACAGAATTCTTTTGTAGCCGCAGCTTGTGATATGTATACAAGCAGTCAAGCAGAAAATATATGCATCAGAAATGACTTACCGTTTGATAATGAATCCGTAGATACCATAATGTTGGATTATTTCTACAGGTTTTATTCTGTAAATTAGAATATATATCAGTATAATGGACTCTCACAAATGTATTTACTGATTACTATTGAGTATGAATTTCAGCCAATGTATTCTGTCTTTGCTTTTTCTCTTTGAATCACTAGCTAATATTTGGCTTTATGAACAACTTGGACCTGGTAGTATGGTGGTTTTCACCGTATCCATCGCAATTTGTTGAAGCTTTTATCCTCTGGTTACTAGTGTGCTGCCTTTTCGTCATTGTATATACTACTTTAATGTTGCCTAAAATATGGAACAAATAACAGGAATTATTTGTTTGTTTTATATGCCTGAGAGTGGTGTCAAACCTGGTGCTTTTTGATCATGATTTGATATTTATCATTTTAACGGTGAAATAATGTTGATCATGTTCCTTTTCTGTGAAGTGAAATGTCTTTTTTTTGCATAATAATTGCTATTCTGTTAAATAAAATAAAACACCCTAAACATTAACAATACACAAATGAAGATGTAATCATTAAAGAGAATAAATTTGCATCTACACATATAGGATTGTTTTGCACTTATCACTGCTGAAATGAATGTTCATTGAAAGAGTCTATACACTTCAATTGAATTCAGACTTCTCATGAGTTCAACAAATTTTTGGAAATCCTTTTTTCTCGACTGAGCTATGGATCAATTTCTACAGTAGACAAATGATCACCAGATATTTGCAGGACAGACTATCACTTTGAGCAAATTGCTCCTCTCCAGCTAGTTATATTCACGGCACAAGACTCATTTTCCATGAGCATCTCTAAAAATTACCCACCATAGTTAGCAAGAGGAGAGTTTAAGACAGATACTCGCTCAGACATTGAGGACTTGATGTACAGAAGCCATGGAGCTTCACCACATTCGTCTTGTGAGAGTGGGTGGTAATGGTGTTATGTCTATGCTCAGTCTTCAAACATAAAGTGGATAGTATCATAATATTTTTTTAATTTTGATTTACAGCTTGATTCCACACCGTATTTTCAGTACAAGTGTGGAATTTTCAGCATGGATATCGGTAGCCCAAATTCAGGCCGACCATAGATATCGGGTGTGCGCCGGCAGGGGATCGAACCACTGACCATGTGCATGGTCGGCGAGAGTCCTAACCACTGTGCCAACGACGTAATGAATATAATAATAATAATATAAATATAAACATAACAACAATTCACACATATCAAGGCTGGAATGCAATGAGTGAATGATATTCACAAGAAGGATTTCCTCCACATACGTAACTAAATTGCTGAGTAGAATTCATCATGTCATACTCACAACTGACTTGTTCAAGCTTAAAAGCAGTATTTATTTTATGAAGAAACGGCATTAAGTGGTATCGAACATTGCTCAGTCAATATACTCTTGATAGGAATAAATATTATTGTAACGGTGTTGAAGGGCTTTTATTCAAATAAGATTAATTACAAGATTTTTAAATGTTGCTACATTGGTGAATTAGCACAATGGCTCTGAAAGTAGGTCTACTATTATCAAACATCAAAATTTAAGTGGTAGAAACAACGAAGAAGTTGGAAAATTGAACTGCAATGAATTCAAGTAATAAAATTTAAAAAAAGTCACGAAGTGTAGACACTAATTTACAAGGAAAATAAACACAGTTTCTGTTCAGGGAAGAAATATCTCTTCTCAGTGCCTTCATTTACAAACTCTACAGTAGTATTTACATAACGGAAAGATGGCATTAATTGACACTATAAATTCCTCAGTCGATAAACATTAAAGATAATTAAAATGATGTATTGAGAGGGTGGACGTGAACCGGATGAATAGTAAAAGTTTCAAAAATTATTGAATAAGTGAATTGGTATATGGATTTTAAAAGTTGGTCTAGTATTGTCTATAAAAATTAAAAGTACGATGATGATTACTTTAGTAGTGGAGTGGAATGAATTCAAGACGTAAAATATAACAAAAGAAAAAGGAAAATACGTATGACAAAGGTAAAGAAGAGGGTTTAACAAAACGTTTTGACTATGCAAAGCTAGTCCTTCAACTATGCATAAGTAGAGAAATCATAAGATTTTAGAACGGCTGGGTTTTGTCCAGTAATTTTGAAGGATAAATCGCATGGATCTGAATGACGTAACAGAGGAGACGTGAAATTTCGAGTGATTTCTCGCAAACAGATTCGAAACCTTGAAATGTAAATTATTATTGATTCTAAGAGATTTGTTGTATACAAAGATCTGGCTTTTCTGTTTCAATGGCCAAAACTTCAGCGATACAGATGAGTCGGATAGGTAGTTAGTTGGGCAAAGCACTTTTCCCCTTTTAGGTAACTTAAAGGATTGAGGCTGCAGAGTCGCGATAATCGTAATCGAGCAGATGAGCAGTGACCGTGCTTCGTAATGCCTCACTTCCACCACTTATTAACTATGCATGATACTGTTCTTGTACCTTTTCGGAGAAAACCTAAGTCAAATGAACGATATGCCTGGCTGCACACGAGCGAGTGAATTATTAAACGCACATATAAATGGACAACTGGATGATCTAGTCCTTCACGGTTTTGAAGAGTATTGGTCGACTAGAAAACGCTATTCTCAACAATGCACCGGGCAATGTCCTTGTTTTAATGATGCTGAATGGTGAGCTGCCTTTGAATTCGAAGCTAATGTACAGCATTGTCTTGGTTACGGACGTTAGAACACGTTTTGTTGGTTTTCATCATATGTTTTTTCTGCAAAAGCTGGTGGAAATCAAATAAATTATAATTATATTTCAATAGTTCACACGCAATCTTAAGTTTTTGCTTTTGGTAATTTTTCCACACTGCTGAAATTGTTTTACTAATACTGAGTGATGAAAATCTATTCTTCATTCAGATTTTAATCAGGAGATTAGAATATTCTTCTCCATCACCAGGACTACATACATGCCAACGGGGGTAGCAAGTGACCGGATCAGGTTTCGATTTCCACAGTGTCTACCTAGCTGTAGAAAACTGTCAGTATATATATTTGCATATGAAACATATGGTTTCCATCAATGGAACATTTTGAAACAGGGATTCTTTATCTAAATATCAAATATGTTTATTGTAAGCATTTTTATCCTGTATAAAATCGACAGACTGGAAGGTGTCACGAAGGTATCAAAAGGTATTTCTCCCCTGACGCTTCCAAGGATTTCAGCTAACCACTTCGATTTGAAATGGTAAGGTGATATATTCAAGATAGGTTGGAGTAGTAGGATAGCTTTGTGTAACTCACACGAAGCACATGAAACGCTTCCTGATGATCATTCAAAGTTCGTATTTAACTACTTTTCAGGTGTTTTATCCCATTCGCAGTTAGAAGCTCTATCCAGGGTCCAAAATTTTGTGAGGTCAACCTAAATGCCTACACACATCATACGCTTTGACAATCTGAACAATTAGTAACTCAAACTAATTATGTAACGCTAACGTCTGAACAGAAACTAAAGCGATTCAAATTAACAATAACCCATTGTTGTTATCAATATCTGAATATAAAACCAAAAGTCTACAATCACCAATTAAAGCAGCATAGAGAATAATTAAATCAACTGAGGCACAACAAAGAACTTCTTATAACCTGTCTAGATAAAAGAGCTGGCAAAGTCCTCATACATTTAGTCCCATTGATGAATTTGAATAAAGCAAGAACAACAGTGGTTTGTGCAGAATAATGTGGTACCATCATTTATTTCGTAGACTTCTCATCAGCTGCTTACAGCCTAAATAAATTATGAGGTTTGCGTACAGAAAAGTTTTAACATACTTGCAATTTTTTACATGTTGTCAGTTGACAAAAGGTTCCACAGTAAGTGAACAGTGCTCAGAAAATTGCGCTTATATAGTTTTTACACATGCAGTTCAAGTTTAAACAAAATAGATGTATGCATACAATGGTAAAAGAGTTACGTAATAAAGACAGAATATGAGTTAGATACAGAGTGACAAATAAATTAGGTAACAATGTACTGAGTTCAACTCAAATCATAGAAACAAGAGACAAGCAAAATTACAAATTATAAAAGGGGGTGAGGTAAAAGACAAAGATTACGTAATCAGATGAGAGAATACAGAAATTCAGTTACCAGGGCAAAGAAAGATTAATAACTGCTTCTTTCTGAACACATAAATCTGGTTCCAAGCGTTTGATAAAGATTGCTTCGGCAAACTTGAGGAGAATGGAACTCCTTTGTCTATTGATAATTTTAAAGGATTTCTCGAATTCTAACTCATGACCCGTGTCGAGAAGATATCTAGTAATAGCGCTGCTACAAGAGTTTGTTCCCTTGAGACGTAGGCTTTTTGTCTCATGTTCAGAAACTCGGAGGTGTGCCCTTCTTTCTGTTCTCCCAATGTAACTGCTCCCGTTATGTATGTCAGGTTTACCGTACCATTCAGTAGCGAAACAGTTAGCTGATATTTTACAGTCTGTACGAAAACAGATATGCCACTTTTTGCTTAGGGACACTTTTCAGTTTGTCGACTATGTACAAATTATTGTTCATAATATAATTCAGATATTTGAACGCCAAGAGCAGAACGTAAATTTATTCTTAATTCTGTAGTAAAAGTTTCAGAATAATATTCAACATAAGATATCGGTAGGATACCGTTTGTTGCCACAACACTCGTCGATTCCTGCTGACTACTTATTTTTACAATACTCACAAGTCAGCCCATAGTCAAAACGTTTCAACCATCATCTCAGTAGTTTCAAGGAAAATAATTCTCAGAACACTTATGAAAAATACATTTTATGTTGAATGTAATTGTTAATAATGAATAAGAGGGACTCTGATCAACTATAATAACAATAAGTACTGAAATAATGTTACTGTTTTCAGGTGATGAAAATAAAAACGTTCAGTCTTTTTTGCTCTCCACTTATGAATCTCATGTGGCTTCACACTCTGAATGATTTCAAACTTTGTACTCTAAAAGTGTACAAAAAATTATCAGTAAATGTTAGTTAATAGAATAGTGAATTATTATTGTAAATATCAACTTGAACAAATAATTCGTTTGTTATAGAGGAGATGCAAAGTCTAATAGTAAAATATCGGCATTTGAATAAACTTGATTGATGTGCACAAAAGTAGTTTTTATACTGACACTATAATAAATTTAATAAATTTAATTAATTAATTAACTAATTAAATTTAATAAATAATTTAAAATAAGGATTCAAGAAGGTCGTTTAAGGTTATCACAACGGATAAATAATATTTTAAATTACAGATATTGTTTAAATAAGGTTTGTTACAT